TTTTTCTTTTTTTCTTTTTATATGTGTGTTTTCTAGTGGTCAGTTATTTGGCATGTTTGTGAATGATTCGGTCGCCACGCCATTCGTGCCGGCAAGCTCAAGGAAGAAACCCCCTCGATACTGGCGAGAACTTTCGATTGATCTGCAAAGCTTACCGTCGAGGTGATCTCAAGCTCTATTAGGAGTGGATTACCAAAGGTGACAAGTGCTTTCGTAGGAGATGTTCGCACATTAGCACGTCTTGGCGACCGAATCGTTTATAAACATGCCAAATAGTATTATCGATGTACCAGGACGGGGATAGAGAGGTGTTGTTGTGGGGATTATATATAGGAAGGAGATAGGATCGAAATGGAATAATAACCAGGTGGCTTTAGCTTCGGGTTAGGTAGTGCTTATTTGCCTTTATAGAATTTAAAGAGCATTAATAGTTCATCTCCACAAAGTCACAAAATGTAAAAACTAAAAACAACTGATCATATACCAGCCGAGCACAGTACACTCCCACCACACCGCAAACGACACTAGCAGTAATATCAAAGAACAACCAACCTATAAGCATACACAGTATCTAGGCCTACCTAAACCCTCTAAATCAACACTCTGAATCAAGCATCAACCCCCACCGCCAAACCACCAACCACCACCACCCCCATACGCACAGCATACTTCCCACCCCCAAGCACCATCAGATGTAGACGTAGACGTATCCAGCATAGCCAAAATCCAATCGACTGAACCCCACACTTGAGGTATCCAACCACACCCTCCCTTTCCTTCACTCTTCCTTCCTGCTTTCCCCCTCCCCTGGCTGCAGGCAAAAGCCCTAAAAGCAAAACCCGCCCACCACCCCCTCCATGCCCCCCCACACACACCCCCCGCGGAACCGGCGACGGGCCCCTCGGCCCGGGACAAGGGGGAACAGAGAAAAGGAGCAGAAGAGACGAACAGGGGACGGAACGTGCGCGTGGCGAAGCAGTGAGCCAGCGATGACGATGACGGAGGTGGTGTGATGACGAAGGTACGGTGCGTGCGTGGAGTAGATGTGTGGATGTGTCTCAGGATGGTGGGGTGGGGTGCGGGGTTGGGTGGTTGGGTTGGGACGGGTTTAGTTTTGGGGGTGGTTTGGTTTGCTTAGTGAGATGGTGGTGGTGGTGGTGGTGCTGGAGGGCGTGGGGTGCGATCTGGGGTTGTGCTGTGGCTGCTGCTGCTGCTACTGCTGATGGTGTGGTGTGATGTGGTGGTGGTGTATATGTATGGGTACACACGACTCCGCCGACACTCACTCACTCAATCAACGATGAAAAACAGAGAAAGAGAAATCGAACTCCAGCGCGAAACCACTTCCATCACAATCATTCTTCACAGCAGCAGCAGCAGCAGCAGCAGCAGCAGCAGCACAGCACACACGCAAGCACGCACCCGATCCGTTCCTCGCAACACCAACCACGTTTTGCGGGGCTGCAGCCGGCGTCGCAGCGCAGGCTCCCTTCCGCATACATCCACAGGCCGACAAGCAGGCAGGCAGGCAGGCAGGCAGGCTGATATCGCAAGCCGCAGCGATAGGCCAGCGGCGCGCAACGCAGCTCCAGAGATAGGCGAACGCCAGCGGCCACAGCTCGCCGCCCCGTTCAACGCAGGCCGCGCGCCGCATGCATGCGCGGAGAAGCTGCTGCTTCGCACTGCCGTCGCCCGCCGCGTCGGGCGATACGAAGGGAACGGCACGGCGGGACTGGAACCATGGCTTGACGATCGGCGGGGAGGCAGCCCTTTGCTTGTTATCAAGTGGATGGGTTGGGGTGCGCTTTGGGGGCCGTCTGGACGTCTCTTCGCGTTGCCGTGGTGCGTTTTCCCGGCTGCCTAGGTGCGGTTGGGTTATCGCCCCTGTTATACAGCTGCGTGGGCATGGGTATGCTGGAACGTTCGCCTGCGCTCCAGATGTGCGGACTACGGATACATGGGCACCCGGGCGAGAGGCGGGATTCACCCGGTTAAGCGCGACGGGGTTGTGGTTGGTGGGAAGAGCCAAGAGGGGCGGGGAGGCGTGCGATTGGGCGTTGGTGTTTTGTATAAGTACTGTGGTTATACCTCAGTCTTACGCCATCATCTCTAAAGTGCTGCTGAAAAGAGCATCAATGTCTCTCCAGCAGATTAATTCGACGATTCTCTTGATCGGCAAACCTTCCCGGCGACCAGCAACTGCCAACGTTGGCGCCCGTTGAGTGTCGCACTGGCTGCCCCACGATGAGCCTCAACGCCTTGGTGCATATCGCGATTGTTGAGCAGGGTTGGCCCGTCGCTTACGTCGGAGTAACCTCAGGCGGAGGTGGGAGGTCGGGGTCGGCGGGCCAGAGAGATCGTCGGGAGTGATTGCATCGAAGCACGTGAAGGTCACTCCAAGTACCCCAGAGCGCCACGCACGCAGCAGTGGTGTGAAGGAGGAGGGAGGGGGTGAAACATCGAAAAAGAGAAAGATAAAAAGTCGGGGTCGACGTAAACGTAAATGTGGAGGAGGCACAGAAGGAGGGATGATGATTGTTGGTGTCTTGGTGCGGTGGTGGCGCTGGCTGCGTGGAGACGCGGCCCTGCCTGGTCTTCTGCCGCTGATGCTATTGACTGTTCCTCATGCCTGCCTAGGTACTCTAGCCGCCCCGGGTCCGTATATTTTCTACATCAGCCCATTGCATGATCTGCTCAATGGGCATGAGGAGTGCAGGGGAACGTGGCGTAGAGTAGCATGCCATGGATGCCTCTGCTCCCCATTCCATGCGAGCTCGTGCAAATGAAGAGAGAGCCTAGGTATTTGATAATTCGAATGGGCCGCATCCTCGGCAGGGGGGACACGAGGGCATTGATTAGCCATTGGAAGGCCGGGCGAGGAGGCGAGGTCCGAACATGCGAGTGGGAGCCATCTATCAGACCGTGGTCGCCATGGAGAAGGGAGATGGCGAGCACAGTCGATATCACATGCAAGAATCTACCTCAGTCTCCACGGCGGGTGACGTGCGCGCCGCGTTCGATGCCGCTCTAGCCTACTTTCATCGCCGTCTCCCCGGAAGCTGCAACCAGAAAAGGGACGAGATGCAGCGGCAGGAGGCACCTCCACCATGACCTTGCAGGCCGTGCCTGACGCCACAGACCGGAGAGAGTGGCCGGTGCCGAGATGAGAGAGTGGAGAGAGAAAAGTTGAGAGCGACAGTAGGTAATGACGGCAACTTGTGTGTGTACAGTGTACGTGCGTGGATACCTAGGTACGTAGCTACTCGTGGCCGTAGAGTGTCTCGAGATATACTCTCATGATAAGAGCCTACCCTGATTTCCACGCAGCAAAAGGTCGAGATTGGCCCGGGGCTCTGGGAAGCCGCGATCCTCTACCGCGTGCGTCAGTGTCGCACGGCCCGTGCGCTTTCACATGTCAAGCGCCAGAAGAGAGAGTTGCGTGCGGGCTGCCCCTACCTTAAACAACCCTCTTTGCTTCCTGTCCGCTTGCTTCTTTCCCTTCCATTGCATCCAATCCTCAAGGTGTGTATGCGGAATGTCCCGTCCATTCTTTGCCAGCCTATTGACGAGCCACAGATAACACTTCCCGCCCCGCCGATTCGCAGCAACGTAGTTGTCGCAGTTGTCTCCGCACACACACATAATTTGTATGTCCGCCCCGTCACTTTGCTGCTGCTTTCTTCCTCCCACCATCACCACCACTTCCTTCTCTCTCCATCTCTCTCTCTCTCTCTCTCTCTTTCTAACATCGCCCACGCACGCAGTCCATCACATGCCCCACGCTGAAGAAACCACCACCAACACCAACAACGCAACAATGGGCGAACCTCTGACCAACGGCGACAAGCCTGCCTCGCACTTCCTCAACGTAAGCTCCATTGACGCCATCCGCACCAACTGCGGGTGACTGACGCAACAACCCTGAACAGCACCTCGAGTCGTACCCGGTCGTGCACGACATCATCAGCACCTACAAGTCGAACCCGTACGGGCAAAAATCGCTCAACATCAGCCACGCGGCGTACGACCGCTTCGGCAAGCCCATTGTGCCGTACCTGGAGAAGCCGTATGGGTTTGTGGCGCCGTACGTGGCGCGCGCCGACAGTCTGGCCGACAACGGCCTCACGCAGGTCGAGTCGCGCTTCCCCATTGTGAAGCAAGACACCAAGGCCATCAAGGACAACGTGCTGGACGTGGCTCTGTTCCCCCTCCGCTTCGCCGGCCAGGGCAGAGACTACGTCTTCAGGACATACGACGACGAGTACCAGAAGACGGGCGGCAATGGCCTCATCACCACGGCCAAGGCCATCGTTAGCACAGAGTTGAAGATCACGGCCGACTTTTTCCAGCTCGTCGCCGACTACCTGGGACCGAAGAAGGAGGAGGCGAAACAGAAGGCTGAGGAGGCTAAGAACAAGGCCCAGGAAAAGGCGAACTACCAGTAGATGTCGCATTGTTTTGTTCTTCTGTTTCTCTACGTTTCCGGCTGTTGAGACAGCCATTTCCTCTTTCCCGCTCCCACCAGATCGCGCTGTTCGGTCATCTCCATCCTCGTCATTCCGACTGTGTTGTTGTATTGCTGCAGCCTCATTTGCCACCTTTTTAGTGTACCGTATTCACGACCTAGTTACTGAATAATAGACTCAAAGGAGCTTGGTGTGTAGATATCTTGCGCATTCGAGGAGCCTATCGAGATGCAATGAGGGAGTGGGTGTTGGTGACATGTACACTGCTGTGTGGACGGACTAACGGGTTTGCTTTTCCGGTCCCTGATAGGCTCTATCCTATCTAAGTGCGGGAAAAACGAAAAAGACCTCTGGCTCTCTATCAAATACCTATCGATTAGAGTTATGGCGACATGCTGATGCGGTCGCAATCGACTAGATTTAGAGCGGAAGACTCGAGAATGCGTCCGCGTCTTTAATTGCGATCGAGTCTGCTGCAGTACTTACGAGGGTTTACTCCTACTCCTACTCCGTAGGATCGAGACGCGAGCAGGGCGGGCTGGAGCGGATGCGTGCGATGGCGCTTTTGCGTTCTGCCCTGCTGCCCACGGGTGCGAGCGACACGATTTACGGTATAGTATGTGGGAGGCACGGCAGGAGTGGTGACGGGACGCGAAGCTCGGAGATGGATCGGTCGATGGGACTGGGTTGCGTTGGGTCTGAAACCTCAAGCGCGGGGCTGGTGCTGGGATGCTGGGATGCTGGGATGCTGGGGGTGATGGCATCGGATGAGCTCGGAAACTAGATGGAGAGTCTGCGGGATCGTCAGTTTGGGTGCTTTGTTAGGTAGGTAAATTGGTTGGTTGGTTGGTTGGTAGGTAGTTGGGTGAGTGGGAAGAGCGCTGTCTGTTGGGTGGGTTGTGGGTTTAGTTGTTGTTGTTGCTGTTGTTATGGCGGCGGCGGCGGCTATCTTGGAGTAGGCGGACGAGAATTGTGGGCATGCAGGCAGGCAAGCAAGCTAGTTTGGGGGAGATTTGAACAAGCTTATGGAGATCGGCGAGCTCATGGAGTTTCGGCAAGCTTTTTTTCAAATTCGACGACTGGCGTACAGACTATCAAGCTCTAAGACTTGGCAAATGGAGTCCTACGCCCGCCCGCAATCCGTTCCTTCATAGGTCCCGTGTGTTTGTGTCTGTGTTTCCCGGCAATCACTTCGACAGGGTGCGACAAGCGTGGAGGAGTTTGACCCTATGCAGTATTGCTCAATGGATTGAATATCCAGCTACATTTTTTTGTTGTCGCCGGACCCGAAAGCCGTGTCCCACCGCAATGCCACATAACCGTAAGAAACGAGACGCTTAGAAACCTGCAGAACGAAGAACAACCAGTCAGCCAAAAATTGTCCGCAAAACCAGATGAAAAAAGAGAAGGGGAAATGGAAGACGTACGCAAAGGAGTGAAGAACCACCTGTTCTTTCCGCTCTGGTATCTCTCCTCCAGCGCCTTCTTCACCGTCTTCTTGGCGTCCTCGCGCTGCGAAACCTCCTTGAACGTGTCGTTGGTGACGACGCCCTTCAGGCCCTCGAGCTCGAGCGTGTAGCGGGTGGGCATCAGGTGGTTGTAGTTGACGGTCTTGATGAAAGGCTTGACCTTGGAGCGCTTGGTCTGGCGCGCCTTCGACATGCGCCTGGTGACCTGGGAGGGGTAGCGCTCGATACCGGCGACGAGCGCGTGGGGGAAGGGGTGCGACTTGGAGCCGGTGTCCTGGGGCTGGATGATCACGACCTGCAAGAATAACACCCGTATGTCAACTTCCGCTCTTCATGTGTGCATGCATGCTTTCTGCCTGCCACTGCTGCTGCTGCTGTTGCTGATGTTGGTCCGCGCTGTTGCTGAATCCGTCCCGTTGCTCCATGCAATTGTCCTCCCGCGGTGGTGGGCCCTCCCATCTCTTCCTCCTCTTTCCGCGCGTCCTGGGTTCGGCGAGTAGTGCAGCAGCGGCAGTGCGTCCGCGGGAAGATTGTTGTTGTTGTCGTACCTTCTTGCCGGCATAGCGGCCCCGGGTGATGATGGCGACACGGCCGACCTTGAGGACTGCAGGCGCAGCACGTTAGCAAGGCTTCTGGAGACGTCTCATCGCAGGGTCCGACGTACACTTCATCTTGCCTACTGTCGTTAGTTGAGCGATTGCGTGTCGTGATACGGCTTGTCGTCGTTGCTAATTTTTCGGATGTGTCTCGCGCCAGCGTGTGAAGCGAGCGCGGCCTTACTGTTGTTCCGGGCGCCAAGCCTTTTGTGCCTCTCCGGGTCTCTGCGGGCAGGTGATCGCATTTTTCGGGCCGGCGCTTTAACGCTTCGAGCCCCCCGTGCCCCCGTCGCGCGTGCTTTCTCATCACTTTGACCCCCGCCCGCCGCCGATGCATAGTTACTATTTGAGGGGGCCATTGGGATGCAGACGCGTTGCGCTCGCGCGTATGTAGTAGACACCTCAGCGGGCGGGCGCTTCCTGAGGCAAAGTCCAGACACTTACAGGAACGACAGGCACCAGGCACGGCTGGCTTGGCGCAAATTGCGCGCTGCGAGGGCTTCTGCTGCACGACGGGAAAAATAGATGTGACGTGTGGCCCCCAGCCTCCTATCGATTTGCGCCAGCCGCTGCCCGCTTGCCGCACTTGATCGCCGTGACCGCTCCTGCCCTGCCAATGCTCACTAGCGTGTTTACTGTTTACCAACCCTGCCACCCCCAAGCGCAAAGCCGCGCGCAAGCCTGTCCCTGCTTCCTGCTCAACTATTACAACTCCCCCAGATTTCCCGCCCCTTCGACCACGACCAGCTCACGAATTTGACGTCTTCTTCTTGCTTCGTTTGCCCGCAAGCGCACGCCTTCCCGCCTTGATACCCGCGCGCGCCGGCCCGCCACCAGCTGCTGCTAAATTGGCCCCGCCCGTAAGATAATGACATTGGCTTTCTGACGCGCCTTGACTTTTTTCCCGCGCGTTCCTTAGCCCATTCCTCGTTGCCGCCGTTCCTCCAACCAAGATACCCCCTCTCTGCGCGCGACTCCTTAGCCACGCTTCGCCATGTCTTCCAGCAGGCGCGGCAGCACCTACGACGGCCATGACATGCTTGTCAAGCACCAGAATTCCTTCTCGTCCGATGGCAGCAGGCTAAACATTCCCATGTAAGTAAAAGCTGTGCTATGATTTTCGGCCTCATTATTCAGTCTACGTCAAGTCTGGCCCGCCTTCTGGGATGCCCCGAAGATCACAAGCGACCATGGCACTAACCAGTCGTCTCCGCTTCTCCAGGTGGGACAGCTCAGATCCGGAACGTGCGCCTCCACCTCTTCCTCTGCACCCCGGCTCTCCCCTCACCACTCGCCCAAACACTTCGGCCGCCATTGCCTCTGCCGCAAAGGCCCTTGAGGAGAAGGCTCGCGAAAATGATCCTGCTTACACCGTCAACCCCATGCCGCCCAAGTCGCCCGAGAGGTCGCTCATCAAGGGCGCCGCTCACAAGCGCATGCAGTCTCTGCAGGACACCAGCATGCGCGACTTCAGAAGCATACTCCACTCCACCAGGTCGCCGGACAGGTCTCCGGAGAGGCCGGGCAGTCGGAAGAGCGCGCCTAGTCCTAGCCCTGCTCGGGATCACGACACGGACTCCCCTCCTATCTCTCCGGACAAGACGCCGTCTCGCGTCTCCTTGAACCCCGAACTCCTCAAGGATACACCGAGTCTGCGCCCGACTTCCAGCAGGTCCCAGCACAAGGGTATCTGGGCGGGTGAGAACACGCCCCCGTCGGCTACCATGCTGGCGCTGCAGGCAATGCCTGTTCGGGATCACTTGGAGCCTCCACCTCCGCTCAACATCCCTAACAGTCCTCGCAGCCCTCGTAGCCCTCGCCCAAGCTCTCGCCCTCGTACTCCCAGTTCTCTACCGTCTCGTGACGCCCGTGACAACGATGGCATGTCAGCCCAAATTAGGGAGATTGCCACCATTGCCGCAAACTTGCAGCGTGAGATGACGAACTTGAGCCGACGAAGCAAAGACAATGCCGCGGACCTCATCAACCTCAAGGAAGCGACCAATGCACGCGACGAGGATATCCGGAAGAGTCTGAAAGAGCTTGTCAGCAATATCGGTAACCAGCCGTCTTTCCCCCCTCCGAACCCACCCTTTGCGCATTCGCGTTCCAACAGCTTCACCGCCCCTGGCACGCCGCCCACGACGAACAAGACGTTTTCGCTTCCTAGAATCAGTTCGCCATTTTTTGATGAAAGAGTTGGCAGTCCTAGCCCATATTCCATCGAGGGAGCCGCTAGCGTGGCAATGTTGGAAAAGATCATCCGGGAGATGGTCACCAAGGAGGGTCAAGACCGCTTAGTCAACACACTTAATGGCCTCTTCGAGAAGGCCAACCATGACTCCACCGAGGCTGCGAAGAAGGTCGGCGAGCTGGTCGAATTCATCAAACAGGGTGGTTCAGAGAGCCGGGCTCTCATCACTCATGGCGGCGATGATTCGAAGAGCGAGCGTAATGGCTCAGATTCAGCAGGTGCGGTTGCTAGGGCGACAAGGGATATCAACGCCGCGCTAGGATTGGGCAACGACGCTAATACGTCAAAACCGTATGCTGGTTCGAAGGCCACAGAGGCCGCCACCGCCGACTTGCTCAAACTGCTCAAGGAGATCCAGCACAGCTTATCCGGTAACAGCGGTATGACTGCCGAAGTCAAGGCTGGCGTTCGGGATATACGTGGCCAAGTAATGGGCATGGGCCGGGATATCGCTCGCAGGTTCGACGATTTAACGCCCAACAGCAGTGGTGCGCTTGCCTTGACGGATGGAAAACGGAAGGAGGATATTGCTCGCATCGTACGGGAGGGCCTTGCGGAGCTTCACGATCACATGGACAATGCTCTGCAGCAGAATGCCATGGTACCGCACCAACCCACGGATAACCAGGAGATCTACAGGATTGTCAAGCATGCTCTTACTGAACATGGTTTGAACAATCCTCCGCCTGCGACGGAAGTTTCCATCGACAAAGATGATCTCACGGCTGCGGTTAGGGAAGCATACGAAGTGGTCAAGCCCCAAGGACAGCTCCAGCAGCTTGGTCTCGAACGAGATGAGATTCTTGATTGTTTAAGGGAAGGATTCGAGCAACACCGCGCCCTGGTGCCTGCATCACAGACCAGCAATATCAGCCGCGAGGATATTATGGACGCCATGGCCGATGCTATGCAGCACTTCAACCCTCCGCAATTGCAGAGCCAGGCCTATGAGATCCGGGAGGAGGTTCTTCGTGCTGTCAAAGAATGCTTGGATGAATTCAGGCCTTCGATGCAGGTTGCTCTTGCCTCACAGTCGCGGGATCCTGGTGTCACCCGTCACGATGTCCTGGACGCAGTCAGGGAGGGCCTCGAAACTCATGGACTGAACTTCAGCCCCGAACTCGAGATTTCTCAGGAGGATCTGTCCAATGCTATGAAGGCGACATTTGAAGAGGGACCATTCGGAGGATATAGCGAGCAAGTGCTTAACAGGCTTCAGCAGCTTGTCAACGACATGCGCGGCGAGTTCAAGGCATACTCTTCTGCCAACGGTCGTGACACGGAGCAGGTACTCGACGCAATGAAGGATGGTCTCGAGGCTCTCCGCAACGAGATCGAGTCATACGTTGATCGCGCTCAGGATGTCACTGGCAAGGACGAAATCGTCGACACTGTCAAGAGCGGCCTTGAGGCTCTTCGCATCGATGTTGCGGCTTATGTCGCTGCAGGCCCCCAGGGGGACCAAGCACTGAACAGATCTGAGATGCTTGACTACATCAGGGCTGAGTTTGAGCATTTGCAGGAGTCGATGGCCACTCAGATGATACCCTCGGCAAACGGCGACAAGCAGGAGATTCTCCAGGCCCTTGCTGCTGGTTTGGACAACCTTAAGACCGAAATCGGCAACCGCAGCCAGGAGGAGCCCTTGAACGAGGAAATGCAAGAGGCCATGAAGGCTGAGTTTGATGCGGTCCGCGATGCTATCCTGAGCGGAAGCGCTTCCTACAGGGACGAAATTATGGATACCATCCATGACAGCCTCGACAACCTGCACGACAAGCTGGAAGCGAAGTTGAGTGCCGAGCAGCAACCTTCACAGTCAAGTGAGGACTTCATTGCCAGGATGACGGATGAGTTTGACCATCTTCGGGAAACTCTGGCCACTATGCTTGTCAAGACCGGCGGCGCGGAGGACAAGAACGATATCATTGATGCCATCCGCGAGCATACCGACGGACTGCGTACTCAAATGGCCGCAAGCCAGGGCGAGTCCTCTGAAAGGGCGCTTGAGGCTGTTAAAGGAGAGATCGAGCAGCTCCGGGTCACGCTCGGTGGCACACTTGTCAAGAGCGGTACTTTCGAGGAAAAGGAAGAGATTCTGGAGGCTCTCCGGATCGGTCTCGAAAGCATCAAGGAGTCTCAAGCCCAAAACGCCAGGGGCGACATCAATGCCGAGGTCATCGAAGCCATCCAGGTTGAGCTCGAAATCATGCGCAAGACCATTGCAGGCAACATGGCATCCCGCGCTGATACTGAAGAGATTCTCGAGACTGTCCGTCTTGGCTTGGACGATCTCCAGTCGCACATGGACAAGAAGATTGAGAATCCTGAGTCTCAAATGAGAGCGACTGGTGAGATTTTAGATGCCTTGAACGACGCTGTTGATGGCCTCAGAACCGACATCGGCAAGTTTGGCGACAAGCCTGTACAGATGGACATGAGCGTCAACTACGAAATTCTGGACACTCTCAAAGAAGGCATCCAGAGCATCCACACGGAAATCACCCGCCTCAAGGGCGATAAGCAGGCTACTGTCGAGGACGAGACCTCAACGACCGCTGGCAATGAGATTGTGCTTGCAGAAGACCCGGAAACCGCAGTCGCTCGGGAAGCTCCTGTGATGGAGGAAGTCTCGAGAGCCATCAACCGCGAGGACATGGACAAGCTGGAGGTTATTCTCAACCAGCTGCACCTCAAGGTCGAGTCAATGGACGCCAACATGCAGAAGCCTGCGCCTGAGCCTGCTCCCGCGCCTGCCCCTCTAAACGAGCCCGCACCCGGTGTTGCCTTGAAGGCAGATCTCGCTGCTGTTGAGGAGCTTCTCAAGGATGTCCAGGCTGCGGTCAATCTCCTTTCGGAGGACAAGCACAAGGACACCGCTTTCATTGATGGTGTGGCCAAGAAGGAGGATACGGATGCCATTGAAACCCTGCTCCAGAACACTAAGGCCAAGTTGGACGACTTGATCCTCCCGGACCCCGAAACTTCGGTCAAGAAGGAGCATCTGGAGATTGTCGAGGCTATGGTGTTGGGCACCAGCGAGGCCATTGATAAGCTTTCGGATAAGATCGATGGTGAGGCTGTCGCCTCCAAGGGCGACATCGCCCTCGTCGAAGTGCTTGTGACGGATCTCAAGACCGCTGTAGACGATCTCAGGATCCTTCAACCCTCTGAGGAAGAGCAGGCGAAGAAGGCTACAAAGGAAGACCTTGACGGCATTGCGCTTCTCATCACCGATGTTAAAGACAAGTTTGCCTCTCTTCCGGAGGCTGAAACTGTCCCTTCCAAGGCCGAGATCGAACAGGTCGTTGGCCTTCTTAACGATTTCCGCGACAGCCACGAGAAGCTGAAGGAAAACTATGAGAACGACATTAGTGTCACTGCGAAGGCTTTCGATGACCGCAAGATGGAGGCTGAGACGATCATCAGCAACATCGGTGATGTCAAGATGTTCTTGGGCGAGGTCAAAGATGAGATCCACGCTAAGCTTCAAGAAGGGGGCGAAGGTGTCACTGGTCTCAAGGAGACTGTCACTGGTCTCGAAGAAGCTCTCAAGGGAGACTTCAACGTCACCGAGGATGTCAAGCAACTCCTGGAAACCGTAAAGGCCGAGTTTGAGCGCGCGCATGGCTCCATCGAAGATATCAAGACCGATGCGGGCGAGAAGGCTCAGGCGAACCTGCAAAAGCATGACGAAGTCAAGGAAGTCATTGTTGGCGGTATGGCCGAGAAGCTCGATGAGAAGTTTGCCGAAATGATGACCAAGTACGACGACATGCTGGTGCTCACGGAGGCTCAAGCGCAAAAGGTCGACGACAAGACTGCACAGCAGGAGGAGATGATGGCTAGCACCAAGGCTACGGCTGAGGAGCTGAAGGCCGCGGTCGACACGCTTGGAACTTCAATCACTGGCATGCAGGCCGCCTTCAACGAGACTGGCGAGAAGATGAGCGGCGACTCATCGAACGTCACCACGAAGGTGGAGGAAGCTGTCACCAAGATGGACACCAATCATGAAGCCGACAAGGCTGAGCACCAGCTGACTCGCGACGAAGTTGCCAAGGTTGTCACGGCTCTCACGTCTGTGCAGGAAGATCTTACCGAGAACCATCCCAAGTTCATGGTTACACTTCAGGAAGTGCTTGCGCTTGTCAACCAGCATTATGATCATCAAAGGGCAACGCAGGAGGCCGCCCACGAACAGCAGCGCATTGCGGCTGAAGAGTCAAAGTCTAGAGCGGAGGAGTTCAGAGAGAGCTTTTTCACTAAATTGCCCGCTCTGCTCCCAGCGCCTCCGGAGCCGACCGAGAAGTACGACGATACCCAGGTACACGAGAAACTTGACAATCTGCTGGACCAGGCTGCGGATGCTTCGAAGTCTGCTGAGCAGCTTGAGCGTTTGGACGAGATCCACAAGCAGGTCATGAACACTGCTGCGGAGGTCACTCAGTTCGTGCAGACTCAGACTAGGCTTATCACTGAGGGCCATGAGAACAGGGAGAAGGAGGCAGAGGAAGTCGCTCTGCTGCTTGAGCGCCGCACTGTTCAGAAGGAGCAGATCGAGCAAGACATCCACAACCTCAACGACGAAAAGGACCAGCTTCGCCAAATTGTTGAGAGCCTCCGTCATGAGAAGGAGTCTCTGCAAGCTCAGAAGTCCAAGCTCAATGCAGATGTCTCTGCGCTGGAGATGGCTCTTAACATCCGTCGCGAGGAGCTCCACCACATGGACGCCAAGGCCGACGCTCTGGAGCGCCGTATCCTGAATGGCATCATGGACCACTCCCGAGCATTGCTGATGACCAAGGGCATCAAGGCACCTTTGCCTGGTGAAACGGTGCCCCGTCCTCCACCACCTCCTAGCACGGTCGCCAAGGGCGTGTCTATGGCTCTTAACCCTCGCCAAACCCCTCGCCGCAAATCCACCCAGAAGCAAGCTAACCCTGCCAACCGCCGCATCCTGTCCCTCAGCCAGATCAACGGCAACGCTTCTCCGGTCGACAAGGGCCTCAATAGCACCCCTAACACGGGTCTTAAGCGCAGCCATTCTGTCAAAACGCAACCTGGCTACCGGAAGGCCTCCTGGAGTACTGCCAAGCGGGTCGCGAGCGACGCGAACAAGGAAAACGAGACGTTGAACGAGGAGCGGGAGAGTGAGGATGAAGACGAGCTCGATCCGTCAGAGCTGGGACCCTCGGAGGTGGAGCCTTCGGAGACGGAGCAAGACGTCCACAGTGAGACAGGCACGGAGCGGCGCCGCAGCTACGGCAGCCTGTCGCGTGGCGCCACCGAGGACCCGAGCATGTACAACGACAGCCTTGTCACGACGCCCAGCACGGAGCGACGCACGAGCTATGGAGCCGGCTCTGAGTACACGTACGACACGGGCAGCTATCTGACAGGCAGCGATGTCACGGGCAGCTACTTGAATGGCAGCGACGCGGGATCGACAGTCCATACGAGTATTGAGACGGGCACGGGCATTGATGAGGACCACGGCGAGTACTACGCCAGTGACGAGGACGACGACAGCCACTACGAAGACGACGAAGGTGAACTCACGGAGGTGCCGCGCGAGCATGAACACGAGCACGAGGATGGCCATGGCTCCGACGCCGAGGGGTCTTCGGTGACGGGTTCGGCGCTGACGCAACGCTCTGGTGGTTCTGCAAGCTCCGCTAGCTCGGAAGAAGTAGAAAATGAAGAAGAGGAGCATGTCTCGCGCCGGGACTCTCTGCAGGACCCGGATTCGCCCGAGAGTAAGAAGCCAGAGCCCGCTCCCGCCGCCGAAGAGCCTGCTACCACTGCAACTACTCCTACCCAAGAACCCGAGTCCCCGCCTCAAGAAGTCGCTTCCACAACTGCGCCCGCTGCTGCGACGACCGAAGCGGCAATGGTAGGCAAGAAGCCGCCGGCTGCTACAGCGCGTACGCCCGCGGCGAGCGATAGCGGTTTAGGCTCTGATTTGCCGACGGCGGGGTTGGAGGGGGACCAGGTGGATTATTTTAGGAGAGCGGCGGAGGAAGAAGCGAGTCAGGTTTCGGGGGTGCATTGATTTTGGTTTGATGGGGTCTGGCGATGATGATATTCTCTTTATTCTCATGGGTTTGAAATTGGGTTTTCAATGGGGGGTTTTTGGTATTGGGCTTGATGGGTATTTCTGTTGTAATCATGAGTGCACGCTGCTATGTTTGCATGCGGGACGATGGGATAGGATGGCATGGAATGGAATGGGTCACGATTAGGGTACTTGGCTTCTGGGCTCCAGCTCACTTTGTGATGCATGGAACTTCGGGGGTTGGGGTTAGGTTTCTTTTTAATTTGTTCGCTTTTCTCTTTTCATTCTTCTTTTCCTTTCCTTTCTTTTTTTTGGGGGGAATGGGGTTTGGCTTTTCTCTCCTCTGATTCTTGGGTTCGGGTTGGAAGGATGGCTTATGCACAGCGTAGGTAGCTAGGTAGCTAGTATGTAGACATTGTCGATTGGACAAAGGCATACGGGGACGAGTAAATGAATGAGCTATGGTAGTTTTTGTGGTCGTTGTGGGTGTTTTTGCTTTGTGCTCTGTGTGTTGTTTGGCGTTGAAGCTTGTGGTGGTTGTTTCGAGAGAAGGGGAAATAATGTCGTAGTATATAAATCATTACAGTAGCCATTACAAACACATACGACCATAGGTCGAGGAGAATTGGGCATCCCGTCCGCTCTGCCATACACAAGCCTCGAACCGGCTGATTAGTAGTTAGGTGGGTGACCACTAGCGAATCCCAGCTGCCGTATGTTTTTGCTTTTTGCTTTTCGCTTTTTGCCCTAGATAAGAACCACGGCCATAAGGAGACGGACAGCCCTGCATATATATGTTTTGCACGGGGAACACAGATGGTGTTTTGTGGGCTTTTAGCGCGTGGTGAGCAGGCTGGTGTTCTAGCCGCTTTTGTGTCTGCTGGATGCAGCTGGCGTGGCTGCCTTTGCGTGCGGTAGTTGCCTCTTTTTTGCTTGGTGTATCGACGGTGCGTGACGTTTCTTTGCGCAGTATGTTGGCGGGTCGTCGGCGAAGCTGTCCTTTTCACTAAGGAGGGCTAGTATAGGTTCTCGGTGTTCGAGTTAAGTAGAGTTCAGCATCCCTCAGTGAAGCGTGTAGTATATACACTGCACAGTGAATACTTGACGTTGCGTCCGTACAGTTTGTCGCAGTGCGCTGATCTTCTCGCTGTCTGAATCGTTCTCGTCGTTGTCGAATCTGGGTAATTTTCTAATGAACACACCTCTTTGTCTCGCCATCAATGGACTACTCCCACCTGTGGAATCCCCGGCGCTTCGGCCAGGCTGCCAAAGCCAACGCCACGGCCTGCGTCCAGCCGGCTTTCAGGATTCAAGGAGGTCGCAAGACGAATTTCCTGCTAGCTCGAGGATGGAACTCGAAGGTTCTAGGAAGTAAGGTATTCGCGACGATGTGCTTATGTTAAGCAGAAACTGATCGGTCGGGTGTGGTTTTTACCTAGTGTTGTCGGTCTGTAGAACAAAATATAAGTTGAGGGGCGAGAGAGAGAGAGTAACGCCATGAGAAGTAGCTGGCCAATGGAAGACGCACATATCCTAATCAGGTATAGCGTTGGTTCGCAGGATCTCTTTGCGTGTTGTCGCCAAGTCAGTCTCACATTAAGTGGTTTTCCGCGCCCAAGAGACCATTTGAGGTAAGATCCACCGGCAACTTGTCGTGCCGCTCCCGAGAAGCTTTCCTGGGTTGTATAAAAGCAAGAACATGACGTGAACTTTTTGCTTAAGCAAGTATGGCGATTTCCCAAGTAAGTATAGGCTTTGACGACGCTAGCAGGGGTGGAGGATGCGCCATTCAAATCCCGCAGGATGCAGCATATGCACCTCGTGAAAACCCCAAAGCGGTAATGTACGACCCGTGCGTCGGAAAGCTGTAAATGTGGCCACGCCATTAGTAATTATGAGAGCCTTGCAATGCGATGGTCTCTGAAACCTCTGTCCTTGTCCATCCGTCTCTTTTTTTCTTTCTTTGATCTTGATCTTTCCTTGGTTCCTTCCTCGCTACCCAAAACGATCTGATTGGCCAGAGCCTGGTACCGACCTCATGGTATCACAAAATTAGTAGTAATCATCATCGCGACCGGTAGGAAACGTTTCCCTAAGACAAGTTCCGAAAGTAAGCCGCGAAGCTCTCACTGTATAAATTAGGTTGGAATTTAGAGTCGTCAAGCTGATATTCACTGTCTTAAGCACATCGGCAAGTTCCTTATGCGCAAAATGACCGAGGACTCGGACTCAACCAAAGTGTGCGAGACGGAACAAGACTACAAGCGACCTGAACGAACACCAAAGTTCTCCGATTACGTCCGGATCTTCAGCTACGCGACAAAATGGGACTTTTTCCTCTACGCGGTTGCTTCTTTAGCATCAATCGGAGCTGGTGTAGCTCTGCCTCTCATGAACATCATCTTCGGGCAACTCACCGGACAGTTTACGAACTACTTCTCAGAATCATCCACCATATCCCGTAGTGAATTCGATCGAATCTTACGTCGGCAGGCCTTATACATCATGGGCCTTTTTATCGGTCGTTGGGGCCTGAACTCGATTAATAAATTTTGCTTCAGAATGATAGGTATCCGCCTATCGTCAGCCATTCGCCTACACTACCTCCAATCGCTGTTTGCGCAACCAATTCACGTCATCGACTCCATGCCTCCTGGGGCAGCCGCGACCGCTATCACCACAACATCAAACACATTGCAGATTGGAATTTCCGAACGCCTGGGGACATTCCTGCAATTCAATGGCACTATCTGGGCTGCCCTAATCGTTTCTTTCATTTGGAGCTGGGACCTCACCTTAGTGACGTCCTCTTTGGTCCTGTATTCCTTGGTAGTCTTGGGCGTTGTCTATCCGTTCGTCATTAAAGGTCAGACCGCGACTGTCAAAGCGGATGCTCAGGGGATAGCTATTGCCAGTGAGGCTCTTGGAGGGATCCGGCTGGTCATGGCTTGCGGTGCCCAGGGCCGTATAATCTCTCGTTATGAGGAACGGGTGCAAGAAGCTATGAAGCATGGCCAAAAAAGCGCTCCGCTCATTGGCATTCAGTTTGGCTTGCTTGTAAGTCTTCATAATCGTCTCCAAGCCGTACAATTATGAGATTGGGCTAATTCAAAGGTAGTTTTTCGGTGTGTTCGGAGCATTTGGTCTGGCCTTCTGGTATGGCATTCGACGATACATTGCCGGCGGCATCGACAACGCCGGTGTAGTCATCGTCGTGCTGATGTCGGTCATGATGATTCTCACATCCTTGGAGCGCATATCGATACCGCTCATGGCTGTCAGCAAGGCCATCGTTGCTGCTTGTGAAATTCTCACAGTCATCGATGCGCCTGTCCCCGATCCTGGTTCTCTCAAGCCAGATATAGTCTCCGAAGACTTAATTATCGACAACGTGACGTTCGAGTATCCCAGCCGACCCGGAGTTAAAGTCCTGGATGAATTGAATTTTCGAATTCGGGTGGGCCAAAACACTGCTCTTGTTGGTCCGTCTGGTTCAGGCAAGAGCACAATTGTCGGCTTGATAGAACGGTGGTACTCTCTAAGAGAGCAGCACGTTCTGCCTCAAGTGATCGGTGCAAAGAAACCGGAGAAGCCAAATGAGGAGAAGCAAAATGAGGAGAAGAACTCCCAGTTAGAGAAAGAGCTGAAGGTTTCCATCAAGCCCAAACTCTCTGGATCCATTACAGTAGGGGGTCATAATCTTGATGATCTCGACCTCAAATGGTGGAGGGCACAGGTAGGCCTAGTCCAGCAAGAACCTTTTCTCTTCAACGACACCATTTTTAGGAACGTCGCAAATGGCCTCATTGGGACCGAGTGGGAAAATGAGCCCGAAGCCTGGAAACGTGAGCGGGTTGAAGAAGCATGCCAGGAAGCCTACGCCGACGAGTTTATCAACCGTCTACCCGATGTGAGTCCGATCTCTTTGCTTTTGCTCCTTGCACACCTCTTGCATGATGAGACAATTCTGACTCTGTTTTCCGCAGAGATATGACACTCAAGTTGGTGACGGCGGGGCAAAGCTGTCTGGCGGTCAAAAACAACGCCTCGCCATTGCCAGGAGCATCATAAAAAAGCCTCGGATCATCATCCTGGATGAAGCTACCAGTGCAATCGACGCCAAGAGCGAGAGGATAGTTCAGGCGGCCCTTGATAGGGTCACGCAAAACCGCACCACCATTACCATCGCCCACCGTCTTTCAACTATTAAGAAAGCGGATCACATCGTTGTGTTGAAAAATGGGCGAGCGGTCGAGGAAGGCACCCACCAAAGCCTTATTGCCAATCCATCTGGTGTTTACAGCGCCCTAGTCCGCGCTCAATCGCTACATTTGACACAAGATGATGGGCCAGAGCCTGATACGCCGGCATTTGGGCATGGCGTGGAATCGGAGAAGATGCTCGGCGATCACGACCAAGTTGCAAACCCAGCTCCTGCCGTCGCTCTTCAAGAAGAGGAGAATGGGCAGTCTCGAAGCCTGATCTACAGTATGGGAAAACTTCTGTACAAGCTGCGAGCGCAGTGGGTTCCCTTTCTGGGAATCGTCTTTTTCTGCATGGCGACCGCAGCCGCCACACCGATCCAAGCTTGGCTCTTTGCCAAAGTCATTGACGTCTTTCTTATGAGTGGTGAAGATCTTAAGAAAGGAGGAGACTTCTGGGGCTTGATGTGGTTTGTCTTAGCTGCGGGTGCTGGCGTCGCATACCTCTTCTGGGGCTGGACTAGTCTCCATGTCCAGTACTTTGTCAGTGCGGCGTATAAGAAGCAGTATCTCGCCGACATGCTATATCAAAAACTCAGCTTTTTCGACAAAGGAGAGAACTCCCACGGCACATTGAGTTCCCGGATCGCGAGTGATTCAAAACACTTGGAGGAACTTTTTGGTTTGAACTTGGCGGCCTTGCTCACCGGCCTTTTTACTGTCGTGGGTTGCATCATCATCGCGCTCGTCTTCGGTTGGAAGCTCGGATTAATCGCTTTGTTCATCACCATGCCGATCATGCTGGCTTCCGGCTTCTGGAGATACAGACAGGAGGTACAATTCGACAAGATGAACTCAGCTGTCTTCATGGAAAGCTCGCAATTCGCCACGGAAGCCATAGGCGCGATCAGAACGGTCTCTGCTTTCACGATGGAAGACATGATCAACGAAAGATACAAAAAGCTCTTAAGTGGTCACGTTCAAGCAGCTCGCCGCAAAGCCCAGTGGACAGCCGTGCTTTTCGGTTTCGCGGACAGCGCCAGCCTTGGTTGTCAAGCCTTGATCTTCTGGTACGGTGGCAAGCGCCTGGCCAATGGCGAGTACAAGATGGACGCATTTTTCGTTTGTTTCATGGCCATCATCCAGGGTGCAGAGGCGGCAGCCCAAGTGCTTTCGGTAGCGCCTAGTGCGGCACAGGCAAAAATAGCTGCTAACCGCATACACGATGTTCAAGAGTCCGCGGATGTGGACCGAATCGCGACTATGGAGAACGGAGATATACCTGGAACAGATGGCGGCGTGCAAGTCGAGCTGCGAGACGTCTATTTCAAGTACCCCACGCGTAACATTCCCATTTTTGAAGGCCTGAATCTCAGCATCGGCAAAGGACAGTACGCAGCATTTGTCGGGCCGTCCGGATGCGGGAAAACGACCATTATTTCCCTTTTGGAGCGGTTCTACGACGTGGGTCCAGGCCAAGGCGCCATTCTATGCAACGGCGTCAACATCAACAGCCTTAACGTCTATGGTTATCGCCAGCACTTGTCCCTCGTAGCCCAGGAGCCGATAATGTTTCGGGGAACCGTGCGTGACAACATCCTCTTCGGCATAGCTGATCCTAGCTCTGTTTCGGAAGAGAGAATCCATGAGGTCTGTCGCGATGCTTTCATACACGATTTTATTGTTTCTTTGCCCGAGGGTTACGATACCGATGTCGGTCAAAAAGGCGTCTCCATGTCCGGGGGGCAGAAGCAACGAATTGCTATTGCACGAGCTTTGATTCGGGATCCCAAGATTCTCCTTTTGGATGAAGCCACATCAGCACTGGACTCCGAGTCAGAGAAGGTTGTCCAAGCCGCATTCGAAAAAGCTCGTAATGGGCGGACTATGATCGCTGTGGCTCATCGGCTCTCGACAATCCAAAAAGCCGATGTGATTTTTGTTTTTGATGAGGGAAGAGTGGTGGAGAAGGGCACTCATAATGAACTTGTCAAGAAACAGGGCGTTTACTGGGATATGGTAAGTATTCCTCCTTCTTTCTTTCTCGATTTCATACTGACGAAGAGATTTCCAGTGCCAGACGCAAGCTTTGGACCAGTAGGTTCGTGTCTGCATTTTCGGGGGCCACGGCGCCATTCGCCATAACATGCCCAAACTCTCTAGATTTATGTCAATTAATTTGTCTCCACTTACCCTAGTTTATAATAAACATACCTGCTGCCGGTGCAGTGATACCTCATACAATCATACGTACTGATGCTGCCGTCATGCTGTTTTAACTGATAAGCATCTCCCGTTACTGTAAAAGTGCATACAAATCTATCATGAGAGGTCCACCAGATCCTATAAGAGGTTGTCGTTTCCATTGGACATCTTCAGAGGTCCTTTGGACATCGGCTGCCTCTTCCACCAATTCCCATACACCTGTAATTTCATTTTTTCCAAGATAACGGAACACAATGCGGTCACCGCCATCTTCGAAGACGAATTCTCGACGCCACAGGCGCTGCCACTGCTCTAAGGGTGAGCCTTCGAGTGTGTTCATCTGCTCCACACTGCGGTTCCGCAACGCCAATAAGTAGAGAGAGCGTGCGCTCCATAATCCATCCTGACCCGGGTAGTCTTTCAACATCCATATGGCTTGGTCGCGTACCATGGGGTCGCGACAGAATAATGCTATGATTAAGAAGTACCATGACAGCCCGCATTGCAATGAAAGTTGGTGAGCCGGGTTCTTGACCTCGCGTTTGGCCGTATGCAAGGCGATCTCGGCCAGAGACAGATACTCACGGAACAAAGGTGTTCGCGCATGTACTGACTCGACGTGGACGTACTGTGGGGGGTCGTCGATCATGACGCCTAGGTACTGCATACGCAGATGGATGGCTCTTAGATATGTAGGAGATTTGGGATCGGACATGATGATTTTGTTGAACAGAGGCATAAACGCGGTATCTAGCGCTTGAATCAACTTCCCTGAAGCCTCGCAGAATTCTGTGACTTGCTGGTTGTCGAGGAGGTGGAGGAAAAACTTGTTGATGACGCTGCCGTCACTCGAGCCCCAAGCCGCCCTTTGGAAGCCTGTAGCTTTCATGACTTCCACCATGATCGGGTATATTAAGGTCTGTCTGCGTCGGGCAGCAAGCCAATACGCCTCGAACTCATCAAGGTCGTTAAAGACGTCTGGAATACGGTCGATGCTTCGAGAGCGAGGGAGTTGGCTTAGGAGGACCATAAAGGACTCTATCGTTTGTTTTCTGTTCTTCAATCCTTTTGTAAGATTTGGAAGGGGCATATCGTGGCCAACTCTGCCGCGGAAAATTGTGCGGCCTTGCATTGTTAGATTGGTGAAGATGTCTGCCACTGCACCAAGGATAGGCCTCGGGTTTGGCGCGAAGTTGGCCACATAGTTGTCCGCATCGTCATCTGTCAAGAGATAAAACAGTAGTGCCAAGCCATGATTAACATGGTCCAAGGCGGCGGTTCTGTTGCCTCGGAGCGTTTCAAAGAATAGTAACAGCACTGATAGGATAATCGCATCCGGCATAGAAGCTCGTTGCCTCTGCAGTTTTAGAGAATGGCAGTAGTAAGCGACAGCATGGAAGTAATGTGCATCTCTTTCAGCTGTCGGGAGAGCCGGTATTGATACTGCCTGAAGCGAATCGTACGTGGATTGACGATGCCACATGCTTAGTGCACCGATGGCCATTGCGGCATGGCGAAGTGTGTCGTTATTTCGTGTGATTTGAGGCATGGTCACTTCCCACAAGTCGCCGCTGGATGACGCACTGGTCCAGGGTCCCTGGACCAAACCCACGAACTCCTGGAAATATAGCATACTCGAAGAATTTTGGAAATCGAGGGCGTCTGGGTCAACATGCAGCTGCATCCTCGGAGATGTGCCACGGGTAAGCTGCCTAGAATCCCAGCAAAGCTGGCCAGGGCCAGAGGGTTTCTTCCGTGGTTCGAGAGAATATCCTTCACAACGTCCTCGACTCTTGAGACAATTATTGCATTGCGGTTTCGCTTCGTCACATTTAACGTGACGCTTCTTGCATGTGATGCAGCCTGTTCGTGTTTTGTTTGTGATTGTACGGGAGGCCTTCGGCTTGATCTGTTGGAGTGGCTCAGCATGTGACAATGAGTTTGTCTCAAAACTAGCTGAATATTAGCTTTATTTTCTCATTTTCAGCGGTACGTGGATTCTGCCTAGGCTCACTCTAGCTGAGACCCATAGGGCAGCACGATCATAGAATTTTCCATTATAATTTGTTGCCTATTGGGCCACCACCTGCCGTAGAGGTGGTATGGATGCAGGCCGCTTGTTCATGTGTAAGGGTCAGGCGTCTATCCGATGGGTCACGGAAAACGTGCGGGGCAGGCCTGGACATGGACAAGTTGCACCAGTTGCCCGGATCGAAGTTGTATCCGGAGACTTAGTTTTTCCGACAAGGATTACGTCACCTATCTATAAATATAGCTAGCTACCTAGAAGCTTACAAATCATGTAGATAATTATTATTAAATTAATTGTAGGCTCACATTTCCATGAATATCTACTAACACTACTGTATACAAGTTATGGCATGGCTGGTTAGTGGTTGGATAAAAATCAAATGTGTCTTATGCTAATGGAGCTTGGCTACATTGCATGTTTTCTTTTTATAATCTAGTTTTCCGTGCGCTAGCGGAAAACTCTCCATCGTCTCTCCATCCCCAACAATGGACAGTCAACCACGGCCTTATCGTAGCCATCGCATTCCGGCCTGTGATAAGTGCCGTCAAAGGAAGGTTCGCTGTGACCTTGAAGTTGCAGGACTGCCATGTCAATTATGCACGGAGAAAGGGTTCGACTGTCTCTTTTCAGGAACGAACACCTCGCGCTCTTCTGCTGCAACTGCTGATAGGCGAGACCTCGGACGGCAACGGAAGAGAGCAAGGTTAGAAAATGGTCAGACTGTTTTTAGTCTCAGGGCGTCAGTGACCGACGCATCTGCGGATGACAGCGGCTCCGTGGCGCTCCGATCCAGCACCCGACAAGAGAGCCGTCAAGTCGCACAGGAACGGTTACGAAGCACCTCAATCGATGAAAACTTAATCTCAAATGTTCATCAACATAATCGCAGCACATCGATAATTGTAGGTCCCATGGTTGCTGAGGATGTCAACATCCTTCAGCAGTATTTGACCACCGAACAAGAACCCGATTCAGAGACGTCCAAGCGACCCTACAATGTTGTCTCCAGTACTCCCAGAGATCCTGCAATATATCTGGCAATTCCAAGACACAGAGCGGGGTTGAAATTAGCCAAAGACCCTGGACAAGGTCATCGAGAAATCCTGGAACAGATTCTGGGCCCAAACAAAGAGGAGGTCATCCGGCTCTACTTCAAGCACATCCATCCATCATTTCCGGTGCTTAATGAAGAGTCTTTCATGAACATTGAAGATCAAGGGTGCAGGGTTTCTTCTGCACTACTCTGTCAAATTTACGCCATTTCATTGACCTTCTGGAACCAGTCCGAGAGCCTTGCACATCATCACTGTCCCAGCGAGCAATACTTTTGGAATCTCGCCATTGCGGCTCTCCAGGATGACTTTCTTGCTCCGACTCTTTTCACACTATACCCTTCAATAATCGACCTTTTAGGCAGACCGGTCGGCTCTATTCAGGGAAACGTCATCAATGCGGGCAGAACTGCGGCTCTTGCATATAGCTTGGGCTTGAACAGGGATCCAAGTGGATGGAAAACATCTTATCGGGATAAGGATTTGCGAATCCGATTGTTCTGGGGATGCATGATTGTTGACCAATGGTAAGCGTTAATCTTTATTGTGTATTGCTTTGAACACAAGGCATTTCACTGGCATACCATGTCCTTGGCATCAAACCAGAACAAATGTCACGCAGAGTAATAGCGTTTGTCTATAAGACCCGTGGTGCTGATTTTGCATATAAACGAATATCCGGCCTTACATGGACCTTAAACTCAAAACTAATATTGAAGGGCTATGATACGGCATGGAGGACGAAACAGTAACGACTGATTCTTTTCTAGGTCAAGCTTTGCGAACGGGATCCCCGCTTCAATTCTTCGAAAACAGTACGACGTGCCATTGCCAACAGCGCCGATCCTCCTGACGCCCGGGAAAGAATCACATGACAGGAAGCAAGCAGCCGAGTGTTTTATTTCCCTTTGCGAGCTCTCCCAAATCCTTGGAGATATCATGCCACTGGTATATGACCTCAGTGAACCACGAAATGATGCTTGGAAAGAAATAAGGCGTCTTGAACGAGACCTTGATGTCTGGGAAGAGGACCTGCCAGAGTATCTACGAGCCGATGGTCAGGAGATTGGCACTTCTGTTTCCGGTGCTAAAAGCCTGCGTTTGGGATATTTATCAATCAGGATGCTCCTTTGCAGGCTTTCTCTACGGGTATGTGTTTGATCCCCCAGTAATCCTTATGGGTTCGGCCAAGAATTATAATATATTCCATTGCCAGCTTTCTGCGTTATTATCTCCTTAAATACATTCTTTAGATCGTCGTTACTGACATCGTTGTAGGTGGCAAGCTACGACGATGGGCCTGGAAGCCACGACATACGACAATACCATCTGACAGCTGTACGCCGCGCCGCTACCGAGATTGTGGATTTTGTCTGTTCACTCCAGAGTTCCCATCTGAAAGAATTCTGGCTTTCTTGTAAACAACTCTCCTCCCACAAACAAACTACTCAACTCACAATACCACAACAGTTACGGGTCATCTTATTGTCTCAGCCACCACGATACTGTTGCGCTGTGCAGTCGATACAACGGATGTGAACATAACAGAAACGTGCAAAGAGACACTGAGAAAGCTTCAGAGAAGATTGAGCTTGGCCAAATCGGAAGACAACTGGGACCTTGCGGACATGTTTCTGGAGCGCTATGACGAGCCGATTTCCAGGATCACCTCAACAATTGATCGCGATCCAGATACAGCGAACCGTGACCGAAGCTCCGCACGGGCTTTGCAGAACTTAGATCCGTTTCAATCCCAGCTGGCCTATCAGGACCAGTTTGGCCTCGGGTTGGGCACTTTTTCGGAGTTCAACATTCCAATGGACCCTCTGGAATTTCAATGGGCGTCTGCCTGGGATATGTTTGAAGGTCATCAAGAAAACGCTTAAGCGTTATACGTGTTGACAGGCTTTAAATAGAAAAGAATGGTTCCACAATTGAAATCATATGGGGGTTCATGCTTTTAAGGTCGGTACTACAGCTTGCTGGCCGCCTCAGCTCCCGCATCTCCATACAATGGCATAGTCCCCGGAGTCAACCGCAGCGCTTCCTCCATAATATCAAATCCCTCCTCCAACTGTTGCTCCGTAGTAGTAAGGGGAGGCGCAAAGCGAAAAACGCCGCCGAAAGCCGGAAGCGTGGACAGCTGAGCCCAAAGCCCGAGCTCAGCCATCTTATTCGAGACCAACCACCCAAGCTCAGCGGCGCCCTGTTTCGTCTCTCTGTCAGAAACCACCTCGACACCAGCCATAAGGCCGCGTCCCCGAACATCACCAAGACACCCGTACCGCGCCTGCAGTTTCCGCAGCCCAGCCTGCAGCTTCTCGCCCAGCTTTTTCGAGTGCTTCACCAGCCCGTCCCTGACGACGATATCAAGCACCTTGGCCCCCACCGCAGCAGGCAACGGGTCGTTGACATGCGTCGTGTAGAACAAGTACCCCTTATTCTTCGTGACGGCGGCGATTTCATCACTCGTGACCACCGCGCTCAAAGGCAAGCCGTTGCCAAGCGTCTTGCTCAGCGTCAGGATATCGGGCACGACGCCGCAGTGCTCGAACGCGAACATGTCGCCGGCGCGCCCGATCCCCGTCTGCGCTTCATCCACGATGAGCAGCATTCCGCGAGCTTCGCAGTGCGCCTTCGCTGCCTTCAGCCAGCCGTCGGGCAGGACGAGCATGCCGCCCGAGGAGAGGATCGGCTCGACTATGAGTGCTGCGAGGCTGCCGCAGGATTGCCGGTCGATCAGGCTGAAGCCGTAGTCGAGCTCGGTCTTCCAGTCGTGGGAGCCGTCGGCGTGGCGGAAGATGCTGCGGTAGGAGTTTGGGGCTGGGAGCATGAGGCTGCCGGGCATCTTTTGTGGGTTTCAGTTGTTGGGTTCATGGTTATGTGTTTTGAGATGAGCTTACTACAGGTCCGTAACCATCGCGGCCGGAGAGATATTGCACTGCAGCGGCCTGTTTATCGTCAGAAATATCCAAGAAGCATGGGAAGGGATTACAGACGGCTCCAGTCACACCGTGCCAGCTTGCGGACAGTGCAACGATTTCGAACTTTCCAGTATACGACTTTGCGAGTTTGATGGCTGCCTCGTTGCTTTCGCCACCAGTGCTCAGAAAGAACGCCTTGTCCAACCCCGGAGGACAGAGACTGGTTAGGTGTTTTCCGAGCTGGATTACTGGCGGGCTCAGCATGCCGCTGAACAAATGATCCAAGCCTGCGGCATGAGCGGTGATGGTTTCGACGATTTCTGGGTGGCCGTGGCCGATAAGACAGGACTGCGTGTTATGAGTGATGCAAGGCTCTTTGGATGGCCTTGAAAAAAGACCGGGGGGAACACACCATCTGTCCAGACGTCCAATCTAGCATACGATGTCCATCCGCTGTGTAAATGTAACAGTCTTTGGCACCGGTGATCAGATCAGGATGAAAGGCCGAGCCGAAGGACAGCATGCACCGTTCAGCATCCGCCTTGAGAGTGGTTTGATCGATTCCAGAGTAAAGGCCTGCCATGATTATACTGTTGTACTGTCAAGCTTGTCATACACGCGTAGTTTGCGGTGGGACAAGTCTGTCGCTTTATACTGCTACTAGAGCGACAGCCGTTTCATAACCCACATGATAGCAGACGAAAAAGGCTTGAAACCTAGTCGATTTTTCCTTTTCCAGTTAGACAAGAGGATTTGCTTGGAAAGTTTTCCGACGCTTCCTCCGCGTCTTGGGTTTTCCGTCGACGGGAAGTCAAGTTTCCCGTCGGAGAAGTATCGACTTTTCCGTCGGAAAGATAACAACTGTAGCCTTCAAGCATTACTGCCGACGTCACCCTACAGGAGCATTCACTGATAATGAGATTGTGGGATACCCATAGCCTGACCTTCATCGTACTTCATCTTTTGTACTGGCATTCACAGCAGTTGTCTTGAGCTACGGAGTACACATTGGCAGCTCCTTTTGCTTGGAAACATTTTTAGTTTATTTTATTCTGATTTTTTCTGGTTTCCTCGATAATATTCCCCCCCCACCCTTGAGTGAGCTGAACCACAACAGCGATATCAAGGTGTCCGATCGCACTGGTTGGTATAAAAAACGTGCAAACCCCCAACATGCGCAGTCTCCACCAGGCCCTGCACAAGCCGACCACAGCACAAAAACACTGTACCTAGTCCACCAACACAAACCACACCATCCTTCCCAAGCAACAACCAAGCCAAAGCCAACACCCACCCCAGAGCGTGCCCAAAGAAGCGTTTCCGCACCCACCCACACACACACACACACACACACACACACACACACACACACACACACACACACACGCAGCAATCCTCACCCCTGCACCCTCCCATGTCAGTCAGTCCCACAAGCATCCGTGCGACAGAAGCATGCAGAAGTTTTCTAGAACACGACGACCACCGATCGATCCATCGCAGGCACCCACTCTAGAGTCAGATCCTCCGTTGCTGTGGATACCGACCATGTGTTATGTAGAAACCTCTGCCCGGAGATCTGGTACGTCGTACATGCCTCCCACCACGTGGATGTGGCATGTACCGCCTCGGAGCACAAAACTACTCTTTGCCTGTCACCTACAGTAGCAGCAATAGCATTAGCAAAACCACCATCCCGTCCATCCCATCAACCCACATCTATACAATACCCACCCATACCCACCCCTAGCACAGCCTCCCACAGCCGCCCACCGCACCACCACCACCACCACGCCCCGTCCCGTGCCACCCGCAAAGCCACACGCGCACAAACCCCACTCGCCTCACTCAACGTCACTCCCCCCAGCGTGGAAAGCGAGAAACGAGTCCGGAGCTCGCGTGCGCCATACGCACTTACGCACATACGCGCCGCCATGCCTCATCAATCAAGGTCGAAGAGGTACGGAGTAGGTAGAGAGAGAGGTTTTGAGCGCAGACCAAGGCCAGGCCAGGCCAATCGGGCTTGCAGCCGCCCGCACACCCACTCACTCCCTCCCACAGCGCGACTCGCTCGGCGAGAGGAGGCGAGGACGCGCGGAAGCGGCCCACGGCCGGCCTAGCGCACAGACCAGCTTGCGTACCGGGTGCTGGCAGATGTGGGGTGGGGAACCGGCGTCCCTGCACTCACTCAGGGACCAGCAGCTCAAAGCTCGTTCAGGGACTGCCGTTGCCGTTCGCAGCCGGGGCTCAACGCCAAGCTATTGTACCCAAAGAGGAGAGAGCGAGAAAGGGAGAGAGGAGGCCGTACCTAGTGCAATAAATGCGTTACTAACACACACACATGCACCCAACCCCCAGCCTCAGCTCTAGCTCTAGCCCCCATTGACTGCACTGCACTGCACTACCGTACCAGCACCCAGCGGCCCGCATTACGCGCGGTCCTTTAATCTTGAGCCTTCGCCCAACCCGGCGCGTCCGCGTCCGTGTGCCCACTCACTACCTTGTCCTTCCACCTACCTACTGTACCTACCTACCCAGCCGGCTGGCTAGGTAGGAGAGGAGAGAGGAGAGGGGAGGGAGGAGGAGAAGAAGAAGAGGAGAGAGCGAGCGAACAAAAAAACACATGTGACGCATAAGCCTCAAACATATAAACCAACAATTAACCACCCACAACAAAAACGCCGTTATCGTCTATCTAGAGTATCGAGAGTATCAAGAGTACCGCAGTACCGCGTGTATCGCACAGCATTCGCCAAGCCAAAAGAAATAATCAACCAAAAACCCAAACAACAAAAAAGCCCCCAAAACCCCCCCCAAAAGAGAGAAAGAGAGAGCCCCAAAAATCGGTTATAAAACTACAAGCTACGGCCGTGTAATAAAAAAGCCAAAACCAACAAACAAACGCGCGAGCGTGGTGATGAGGCGGAGAGCCTGTCTGTCAGTGCGCGCATACATGCATGCATGCAGCAGCTGCAGCAGCAGCAGCAATAGCAGCAGAGAGGACAGGAACGGAAGGACGGGGGGCGGAACGGAAGGAAGGGGAGGAAGGGAAGGGAGGGAGAGAGGGAGAGGAAGGGAGTGGGGGCGGCGTGTGCCTGTCCGTCTGTTTGCGGCGACGGCGCACCCGCTGCCCCCTTCCTCCCCCCCCACCACACCACACCAGGCCCCCTCGTCCTCCCGGCCGACCGACTGTCCGACCGCTCGACCCGTCCGACCGCCTGACTACTGCCTGACTAACTGCCGGACTGACTACTGACTGCCTGACTCTCCTTCACGCTTTGTGTCCATGGTCCCATGATCATCAGCAGACCAGCCGGGGGGTATTGCCATCGTGTCGAATCTAAACCCTAATCGTGATAGTGGTTGAGAGAGTGTAGGAAGCAGAGTATAAAAAAGAAAAGAAAAGGTCGACGAAAAGAATCGTAGAAGAAGAAGTAGAAGAAAAAAAGAAAAAACAGCGAAATAAAATGGAAAAAAACGCCTTGGTCATCGACCAACATTATAGCATATCCAGCTTTCGTTGCGTGGGTCGTTTGCGAGCAGCCATAACCAAAAACAACCGCGTCTCCTCGCTCGTCAGGCTTCTAGCCCAACTAAGCCGTGAGGGCGTCTTTCAGCTGAGTGTGGCACAACTGGCGCATCCAAAATTTGTCGTGACCCCGAACGTGCTTTCGTGAGACGCGCGCTTCTACTCCCACCACTGACGGTATCCAGTCTTTATTCGTGCTGCTGCTGCTGCTGGTTCTTGGAGAACCAGCCTCCAATCCAGCTCTGCCTGTTCTGCGCCTTGCGTTCCTTATCAGCCTCCTCGCTCTCCTGCACCAGTCTGAGCGGGCGCGGCTTGTTGCCCATAATGACTTGAGGAGGCCTGTCGAAGCTGCTCGCCACGCTCTGGGGCGGGCTGGGAGTATCGACGGCAATGCCGCTGTCACTGTTGCTCACCTCGTCCAGCTTGCTGTTGGTGCTCAGGCGGTTAGGGTTGGCACCAGCGCCGCGGATGCTGCTGGCGTCGTCAGTGCTCTGGCGGGGAGCGTAGCTGCTCGAGCCGGACACGACGCGCGAGCCGCCTGGGGTGGAGGGGCCGTTGGGCTGGTTCACGGGAAGACCGCCGAAGAATGACGTGCGGGGCGACACAATGCTGGGGGACATAGGGGAGTTGCCGCGGTACATGTTGTTGACAACAACGGAAGCGCTGTTGCTCCACTCAGAGTTAGCGCGGCGATGTTGGGATGAGCTGCGAGCAGCTGCGCCACGAGCCAATGGAATGGAGGGAGCCGTGTTCGGGTCGTCGGTGATGCTCTGGTTCATCGGCCTCGACGGCGGGGGCATGACGGAAACCGGGCGAGGACGAGGCTGGACAGTGCCCTCGCCGGGGAGGGGCACGGCGTTAGCGCCGAGAGCAACAGACTTGGCACGCTGAAGGAACGAAGGCTTGCCATCCTTCGACGGCGGCGGGGGAAGCTCCTTGTCCTTGTTTGCGGCTGAGGGCTTGGCAGGCATGTTGTCGTCGTGGCTGAGAACAGCCTCGAAGCCCTGGTGTTGCAGGAGACGCTCGATGATCTTGTTGATGTAGAGCGACAGCGCCTTGTTCTGATCCTTGAGCGTCGTGATCTCCGACTCGGTGCGGCGAGTGTCAGCCTCATCTTCAGCTGCTTCGCCGAGCTCGTCAGCCAAACTGTTGCCGCCCAGGTCCTCGCCGCCCTGTGCGTTCGTGTTGCGCATAAACTCGCCGCGCGAAAAGTCGCCGTTCAGTGTCCGCTCACTCAGCAGCAGCTGGAACGACTCATTGTCCTCCATGAGGCGCGCATTGGCCATGCGCGTCTCCAGCAGTATACGCTCCAGCTCCTGCATGCGACCGCCGCCCATGTTCTCCAGCTCGATGGCCTTGATCTGGGACTCGGCGAGCTCCAGGCGCAGCGACTCGATAAGCTTGTCCTTCTGGAGCAGCAGCTTGGAGTTGTTCTGAGAGTTGCTGCGCTGCAGAGAGGAAGGCGGCGCAAATTCCAGGTTGCCAGAGGAGTTGGTCCGGGTGTTCAGGGGACTCGCTGCGCCGAATGTGTTAATAGCCAGACCTGAGTGTGTTTGCTTGTGAGGATAGAACCTACCGATTCTGGAGTTGCGGCGCAAGAAGCGATCGTCCTCCTCGCCTTCTTGCTCGCGCTCAGCCATGGTGTCCTTGAGTCGCTGAATGACCTCGTGCAGCTCATCCTCCCGGGCCTGGGCTTGCTCCTTCTCTTTTATGGCAGCTGCGCGCTCGGCCTCGTAGATGGCATCCAAATCCCGGCGTTGGCGAGCAGTTTCGCGCTTCTCGTTCTCCAACTCATCCACCCGTTCCTCCGCCTCATGGGACCTCTCCTCGAGCTTCGCCTGGTCATTGAGAGCATCGTCGAGCCTCGTCTTGAGGACCTCGACTTGTTTCTGGGCCTAGTGTTAACATGCGACGTCCGGGGTGCCTGAGGCACGGGCGCTGATCGACTCACCTGGTAATCGTCAGACGCCGACTCGGCCTTCTGCAGCTGGTCCCTAAGGTCCTTGATCAGGGCGGCCGTTTCCTCGGCCTTTGCCTTTTCCTCCTCTTCCCTCTTGGCGAGAGCTTCGTCACGGGCGGGCGAGGAGTCCTTGCTCATGGACGGGTGGTGGGGCTTCTTGATGGAGGACCGGGCAGACATGGGGCTGGGGCCGGACATGCTAGTGCGGTTGCTGGAAGTGGTCCTCCTCACGCCAGTCGGGGAGGCAACGGTGGGTATCGAAGACCGGGAGGGGCTGCGAGTGACCCCTGAGGGCGAGTTTGCGGAAGAGCGACTGGCGGCGCCCGGCGGAGGCGGTTTTTTGATAGCAGTCGACATGGTGGTGGCGGTGTTGGGTGTAGTGGTGAGGTGTTGTTTGTGGTTGGAGGCGCAAGTCGCAGGCGGGAAGGGAAAAGGGCAAGAAGCGTGGCGGTGGATGGCTCAGCTAAGAATAGCGGGTTCACGCGCGGATGTGGCTATGTTTGTGGATCGCCGCGGTGAGAATCAGGGTTGAGCGGTCGGAGGTTGGGCGTCTGACGTTGGGCGCGCGACGACTGAGGTGTCTCGTCGTCGTTGCGGTGACGCTGGGCCTTGGCCGGCACGCGCCAGGTGTACTACTCAAGTAGCTCGGGAAATGAACTGCGGGCTTTTTCCCTGAGATTTAGGGAGCGATGCTCGGGCGTTTCATGGCAACGGGCATGGAGGGCACAGCTGCCATAGAGACACTGCGTTCCGCAGGCCCCTTGTGCACGTTCGGCAGATCAGCTGCACTGGTAAGGCTGGAGCGGGCGGAGAAAATCGACGACGCGCCCGCCGTCCGGGGAAGTCCAGGCTGGCCGTTGAGCCTCATCAGACAACAACGCATCATCATCGTGCACCACACGATGCGCAGAGACTTTTTGTTCTCTGCCCTGCCCCGCTCATTCGCAACCAGCCACCCCGGCCTCAAGCACTTCCGTTTTCTCGCCTGGACTCTCTACCCGATGGAGAATCGCCGGCTCGCCTGTCGCGAATTTATTGGTTCGCTTGCATCTCCGTTTTTGGATTAGCGTGTCCGTTGCTTGCCTCTCCGTGCCAGCCTCCTGGTCCCTCCCTCGCTCCTGCCACTGCCTTTCACTCACTTTTAGTTGCGACGACCACCACCACTACCATCACCACCAACACCGACAGCAGCACCATTCTCTGACCTAGTGCCCACCCATTCGCTTGTGAATGAACGAGCAGCCAAATAACCCAACTCCACCACCCGCATATCCTCATCACCAGCAAAACCGTCTGCTCTCCCAAGCGAAAACAAAGGGGAGAAACACGGCTATCGGCGTGCATGACTTTCGCATACGTATGCTTCAACAAGATGCCAAATGCACGTCTCCATCGCTTTCTTCCGTGTCCGTGACCGTGATGCGAGGACGCTCGTGACACAGCCATGCTCTTACCTGATTGACACTGCCCGGATGCGGGCACAGAGTGCCGAGTGACCGAGCCTACAACCTAGGTAGACGCCGGGACATAGACGCAAGCCAAGCTCGCCATTTTTCAGGAAGAAGGCTGTGGTGACTTGCCCGCTGTGATGACTTGCTTGATAAGCCTGACGGCGATGACATGGAGTGGCAAAGCCCACAAAGCAAGCGAGGCGCACGGGCCAAGCTGATAAATTCAAGAAGGGCCATACCTACTCAAAACCTCTTCGCCCCTCGACGACGACTTCCACTAACCCACCAGCACAACCCCCCACCAACCGTCAAAATGGCCCGTCGTCCCGCGAGATGCTACCGCTACTGCAAGAACAAGGTGCGTTTCGACGCCCCGTCGCCCGACCGAGCACCACCGCGCCCGCCGCACATCTGAGCCCGCTCCGGCGTCTCCGGGCGGAGCAAGACGCACTCCAGATTGTCGCCGGCGAGCCGCGGTGGAGCGAGGAAACGGCGACGGACGCGCAGCAAACAAATGCCAAGGACAAAAACGACTGACGTTGGAAACCCGTATAGCCGTACCCTAAGTCGCGCTTCAACCGTGGTGTGCCCGACCCCAAGATTCGCATCTTCGATCTGGGCCGTAAGCGTGCTGGTGTCGACGAGTTCCCCCTCTGCATCCACCTCGTCTCCAACGAGTATGAGCAGCTGAGCTCCGAGGCTCTCGAGGCCGCCCGTATTTGCGCCAACAAGTACATGGTCAAGACCGGTGGCAAGGAGTCCTTCCACCTCCGCGTCCGCGCCCACCCCTACCACGTCATCCGTATCAACAAGATGTTGTCGTGCGCCGGTGCCGATAGACTGCAGACCGGTATGCGTGGTGCCTTCGGCAAGCCCAACGGTACCGTTGCCCGTGTCAACATTGGCCAGATCATCCTGTCCATCCGCACCAAGGACAACAGTACGTCATTTCCCTCTTAAAAGTCTGCCTTTTTCAAAACGGGCAGTTTTGCTGACCTTGCACGCCCAGACCGCGCCACCGCCATCGAGGCTCTCCGCCGCTCCCAGTACAAGTTCCCCGGTCGCCAAAAGATCATCGTTTCCAAGAACTGGGGCTTCACCCCTCTCCGCCGCGACGAGTACGTTGCCAAGCGCCAGGAGGGCCGCGTCAAGGTCGATGGTGCCTACGTGCAGTTCCTGCGCAACAAGGGTCCCCTCGAGTACAACATGCGCCGCTTCCCCTCTGCTTTCGAGACCGAGGCTTAGATGCCTTGGGCGTGAGGGAACCGAAGTGGTGGAATGTGGTTTACGGGAAATAAACTCTTCATGGGCTCTTGGGCGTTTGATATCTTGCTTTTCGGCTCCTCTCGGGTTGGGTCTGCTAGTGTAGTAGGACTTGCGTAGAGCGAGCAAATCTGAGGCAGAGTCTCCCTGACGAACAAATGTGGTGCATCTTTAGCGTGTGGGGTTTGTGCGCTTGCGTACTGGCTCTGTTGACCCTACTACGCAACGAATACCTGCATGTTTGATGCTACGAAGTACGACTGATCCAACAAAGCGTCGCCACAGTATCTACATAGTAGCAGAGCGCCGTAGCTTACAAGCCAACAAAACGCATCCACCGTCATTTACACATAGTACCATCAAACAGGAACCCATCCAGCAGCGCCAACACCCAGCCACGCAATACGCCAAACCACACCATCCATCACACACACCTTCCCCACCATTTCCCCACAGCTATAGAAGCTACACACCTCCACGTCCACCTCACCTCACCTCACTTCACTCACTCACTCACCCACCCCACCCCATGCCCCCGCCGCCGTTCATGTATGTGTATATGCGTACAAGTCAACAAGTAAGTCAGTAACTAAGTAAGCAAACAAGCGAACGACATGCAAGGTATGTATAGATATAGGTACAATAGGTCTACCACATATATAGATTTATTGATATCATTACTATGGATATGCATATCGCATACACATCCAAATCCCACAACAAGACGACCCAGTCGGTGCTTGAGCTGGTGCAGACAAGTGCGAGCAATATCAAATAGATGTAGACGTCTATACTATAGGTGTAGAATAGAGACGAATAGGGAGGGAGATAGGATACATAGGTACAGTGCGGCCTCTACTACGAACGCCTTGCACGCCTTCCACCCCACGAATCGCCCATCGTGCATCATGCATAAGGTAGCCAGCCTAGGTAGGTACACCCACACACACCACAAACACCACAAACACCCAAAAAAACAAAA